CAGTGTTTTTTTTTTTTTTTTTTTCAAGTGAGAGGTGGAAAAAAGTTCCAAGTTGAGTTGTCTGGAACGTAGATTATTTAATTAAATTTAACTAAAAATGATTGATTCACTAACATTTTGTTAAAGGTGTAGTTGCTTTGAAAGTGTTGATAAACTTTCTGATCATATCACAAGATTTCTTTTAAACAAGCTGTGGCATTTTACAAATATAAGCTGATTTTATTTGGAATGTGTGTGCATGTGTCTGTATATAGACAGACAGATCAAAGAAAACATCAAAGAAGCATTCCAACATTCAAATCGCACCTTTTTTTTCATTACAGAAGCCTTTGAACTTTTGAACATTTTGGACATCTCGGGTGCTAAGTGAACGTTTACATTTAATGATTTTGCCATCACAGGCGCCCTCCAATGTTCAAATCGAACACTCGTGTACTTCAAGCTCTTGAACGTTAGAATTGAACATTATCAGATATAAATTAATACATGTTTTTTTTAACATGTTAATTAATAAATGAATACATGTTTTTTAAATTAATGAAGACCAAAGCTGCTGCACGCGCCTGTGATGCCCCAAAAGTGCAGCCTAGCTAGAAAGCTCAGTAGATTTTGAGACACAGCCAGAGTGAGTATAGTGACTGCAGCAGTATTTAATCTGCAGCTCTGTGATCAGATGACGTTGACGTGTGCACTTCAGGCCCTACTCTATTTCTTTGCATATAGACTTTTAAACCATATACTGATTATGCCTATCATTGCACACAAACGTGGCTAAAAAGAGCAGCTAACCAATCACATCTACATGCAGAGAGAAAATAAACGCACATTCACCTACATATGCAGAGCAAATGAATATTTAGTCAATCGAAATAATTTGCAAACGTGTATCGACTCACCAACAGCTCGTTCCGCTTTTTATATCTTATTTTCTCGTTCACTTCTCTTCTTCAGGTTGATGTGTAACGTTATGTGTGTGGAGGCTTTAAAAGCACTAGGCCAGTGTGTGTGTGATCTGGATCTGTATAAGCTACGTGGCTCTTTCACGCTTGAATATTACACCAGTTTACAGTCTCAACCCTTATGCACTCGCTTTTTTCTACGTCTGAAAACGTCCAGGGGCCGAGACAGGTCGCGATCGTCCAAAGCAAACAACTTTTCCCCGCGAGTGTTGTTAGTTTTCACGGCCACCTCCATCCATAGCGAGCGCAGGCTCTTCAAGCGTCGGGATAATCGCCATCATTTTCCGCTCAAGAATGTACACACATGTCACTGCGCATGCGTATCACAGCCGCGTCAACTTTCATTCCTTTCTACTTTTCTGTCTGTAGTTGTGCAGCATTTGCATACGTGTTGTTGACAGGGACAATAGTGCAATCGAAGCAAAAACTGTACGAAAGGCTGCATAGTGTTTAAAATCTATATCTATTTATATTAACTACAATATCCTGTTACAGGCCGAAATATTAAAATTATTTTATTAGAAAATGACTCGAAATTCAATTTTCAAACGTCCGACTACCTGGAAATGTCTTATGTGTGGGAGGTTTCGGTGTTCCTCATTGGTACCGACAGATGGCGCCACAAGTCGTGTAGTCCCTCCCACAGGGGGGCTCGCAAGGTTATGGTTTGTAAACGTAAAACAGGAGTGTGGGGGTGGGGGTATGGAGGACGAAACCTGCAAAAACAATAAATAAATAAATACACAAATAAATAAATAAATGTGTGCATAGATACACGTATTCTTGTTTAAATACATAAATAAATAATTATACATGTGATGAAAGTAGGCAAATAAATAATATAAATTGGTTGACAAATGGAAAATGTTTAAGGAAATGCTAAACTCATCCTATTTATTTTCCTTTGATCACTCATTTATTTCTGAATGTAGTTCCACATTTTTTTTCCCTCTGCACAACATGCTAATGAGAGGGTGTCAAGAGTAGGCGGATCGTGTGTGACGTGCTTGAGCGTTTGCCTGCGCATGCGAATTAACTTCATCAGTCAAGGGGACTGATTATTATCTTACACTTTTTCATAGGGTTAGTTTTGTAGTTATAATCATGAGAGAGCTAAATCATAAAAGATTTTAAGTGGCCAATGTAAAATATTAATGCTTACATAGCTCTTAATTGCAATACTGAACCGTTATTTGCTTAATAAACATACTTTTGTCGCCTGTATTTTCTGTTCTGATAACTAATGGGGAAAAAACTGTCTGTTCCTCGATTAAACCACTTCATACCAGTCATCTCACGATGACCATGGGATACTGATATTACAGTTGTCTCTAGCTGGAGACTCAATCGGGTTACAAAAAATGACGTCAGGACACTGGCCATTTCTTTGGGTCGTTTGTAAAGTCACAGATACTGTACGGACAATACAGCTCAGTTTTTTATGTATCTTGCTCTGTTAAACGGAAAAAGTGACTTTACGTAGGCCATACTGGATTAACACCATGCATTTCCTGTCAGCGGGAAAGCCGCGCCCCCAGCTATGACATGACCCCGACCAAGTCCATGGTTGACACCCTCTCATTAGCATGTTGTGCAGAGGAAAAATAAATGTGAAACTACATTCAGAAATAAATGAGTGATCAAAGGAAAATAAATAGGATGAGTTTAGCACTTCCTTAAACATTTTCCATTTGTCCACCAATTTATTTAATTTATTTGCCTACTTTATTCACGTTTAATTATTTCTATATGTATTTAAACAAGAATTTGTGTATTTATACAGACATTTATTTATTTATTTGCATATTTATTTATTTATTTGTGAATTTGTTTATTTATTTATTGTTTTTGCAGGTTTCGTCCTCCATAGTTTCGTCCTCCATACACGTGCACGCACACAAGCAAATCAGCAAAATAAACAAATGCATGATTAAAGTAAATGAAAGTAAAATAAATACAATTATAAATTACAAATACAATTTTAAAAATCGTTTAAAAAAAACAATAAAGACATTAGAACGTTCAAATCGTATTTTTGTCATTACAGCTTTGCTCTAATTTGGATTAATTTTTTAACAGTGTGTTTTTTTGTTTGTTTTTGTTTTTTGCCGTTACATCGCCCTCCAATGTTCGAATCTAACACGTTCTACTTATACCACACATGCCTTGAGCGTTCGAAATTAGACAAGAGGACAAACACACACAAATGGCAAACATAGCAAAATAAACAACTGAATGAATAAAATAAATGAAAGTAAAAATAATACAATTATAAATATGATAAAATAACAACAACAATAAAGTCTAATAAACAAATAGATAAAACTAAATGAAAACATTGACAAGAAGGGGAAAGCAAACTAAACCTCATCAATAGAATCATCCAAAAAAAATCTCTTATTGTTTCTACTGATTTGGAACATCTTTAAATATCTTTAATTATTGAATTGCATTAAATATCTTTAATTATTGAATTGCAATTTGCTGCAATTGTCACTGTTATGTTGCACATTCGTTTCCTGAGATTGATAGTGAGTGATTGTTTAAATTACAATGTGACGTTTTTATTATTATTATTATTATTATTATAAAAATAGTTAAAATATAGTAGCTACATTTACAGCTTTACCGGCAGAGGGCGCAATGTCGTCATGAAAACTCGTCACTAATTCTAACCCAATGCCCACACTTGCAGTGTTGCCAATTTGGGGATTTTGTCGCCAAATTTAGCTATAGAGCCAATCAAGTTATATTTTTTATACTGTCATCATTTGTAAAGTATATATATTTACTTTCCTTTACCTTTACCAAATTTACCTGTATTTACTTTGTTTTCATATTTGGCGACTTTTTGTGAAAAATTGAGACTTTTGAGGGTGGTTCTAGAGATTTTCTGAGGGAGGGGTTTGGCAACACTGCACACTTGTGGTCTTAAATGTACAAATGTACAAAATAAAGCTCTATAGAAACTTTACGTACATTTTTACAACACTTGTTGTACGTGTGTCCCATTGTATAATCAAAAGTTCTACACATACTTGCAGTCTTCCTGCCCACTTGAACACTTTGGCCAAATACAGGAAATAGTATGTAAGACAAGTGGTCAAGTGCAAGACTGCAAGTGTGGGTATTGAGACAGACCCTGAATATTTAACTGACACTGTTGACCTGAAACTGCTCTCCCGAAACTGCTGCGACGTATGGCTGCATTTGGTTGTTATTGCTCTGACATCTGCCTTACCGAAACACTTCAAAAATAGAGCAGTTTCTTTGCGAGTATATATATATATATATATTTTTTTTTTTCTACTACGGATGGGGTCTATAGACAGTGATGATAAAATGCACGACCGGCAGGTGGAGCTGCAGCCAATATTTTGGGAATCCAAGCTTTGCTAGGTGTCAAGATGGTACAAGGTGAAAGATATCTTAGAATTTTCTGGAAAAGTATCTTAGTGATATTGTGAAATATTATTACAATTTAAAATAGCTGTTTTCTATTTTAATATAGCTATTTTAATTTATTCCTGTGATGTTAAAACTGAATTTACATTGGCCATTACTCCAGGCTTCAGTGTCACATAATCTTCAGAAATCATTCTAATATGCTTATTTGCTGTTCAGTCATTATCAGTTATTATTGGTGCTCAGTAATTAATAGTGTTTTTATTATTATGTTGCTGCTTAATATTTTTATAGAAGCCATAATACATTTCATAAGTTCATAAGAACATTTATTTGAAATGGAAATATTTTGTATACATTATAAATGCCTTTGCTGTTTTTATATATATATATATATATATATATATATATAATTTT